CACGTTTGGGCGGTCCCGCCACCCACATCCTCTGGGGCGAGAAAAGCCCCATTCATAAGTACGGATCCGACTTAAGTCGGATCCGCGTAACTCGGGGACTGCCTGTAGACACTTCCTGCAGCAATGGAAGGGGGGTTTCTGTTGCTGTAGTAAATCCACTTCTTTAGGTGGTAGGGTAACAGAAGAATTATTCCATTGAGCTAGCTGCATTTATAGTGGGGTTGAAGGGTTGACCTAGTTGCAACTAGTATAGGCTGACCTAACTACACCCCATCCCACTATGTATGAAATTTTTCACATCATTACTGTATGTGATGATGCAACTATGTCAGCCTATGTTTTAAGCACAGACCAAGCCTCAGCTATTAGGCTCAGGGTGAGAGAAGCAAGCTGTGTAAATCTTTGTAATTACATCTCTTGTTAATTCGTATGTGACGTATAATTGGAGCTGAATCTGCAGTTGTGGGGGGAGGGAAGGACGTAAACTTCCAAATATTAGTTAAAATTTAAATTGGTGGGACTTACAGAGTTTCATGTTTCAGTTGTTTATCTGCTTGCAAGATCTGCTTTAGATTTCTTATGCTGTTTTCTTTATGGTGCTCATATTGCTTCCAAAATATACTGAAGTCTTTTATAAAGCAGTCTTATAAAGCACATGCTCTTTGAGTACATCCAGATTTGATAAAATTTATCAGAATCTGGACATACAATATAATTGCCAAGTACTTTTTTCCAGGTCATTCAACTAAGATTTCTTATTAGAAATTTGCCTTCTCTGTCTTCACACACAGCAATATTTTTTAAATTTGTAGTTAAAATAGTCTTTATTGTGCTTCATTTTTTCCCCATAAGTCTTTCAAAAGTTTTAATTCATTATAGTCTTTTCATATTAGCTTGTAGGAGACTGCTTATTTAATATACTATGATTAGTATTACTTGTGGTGGAATGGATGAAAACGATGTGAATATAACTCACATTTTTATGGAATGCAATTAGTTTGGTCGCAAAAAGAAAAAATATCGAGGGAAGCCAGTTGGGCCTGCATCTATCCTGAAGGAAGTAGAAGATAAGGAATCTGAAGGGGAAGAAGAGGAGGATGAGGATGAAGATCTTTCCAAGTATAAATTAGATGAGGTAAAATAATTCTTGTTCTTTGTTACTGTTCACAGTCTATGCTCTTCCTAAGTGAAATTGGCCTTAATTCTTAGCAGACCTATATTAGAATTGATGTCCTCTGTTAAATAATGCTGGCTTTATTTTTAGGTATAAAATAGAAATAAATATCCTCCTGAACTGCAGTTTTGTTTTTAATACACAATCATTGTTAAATATTAGTTGTTCCTTTTAAGCCACGATCCTGCAAAGATTTGTGCACATGCTTACTTTTATACACTGACCAACAAAATCAGTGGGACTTCTTACAGCGTATAAAGTGAAGTATGTGAGGAATTCGCAGACTTGGAATCTAAATTTAGTAATGGAATACACTATCTCTGGGCTTGATACTTCTGCTAGACGTTTGCCCCAAATAAAGTAGTGTCTCATTTTTAAGACACTCCCTAAACTATAATACATATGCTGGCATTATAATTAGCTACCTAACTTTTTAATTATTTAGTCATTATGCCTGATTTTGAAGATCACTATTTCAGTCCTATTATGTGCTCTTTCTGAAATCTTTATGTGGCTATTTGATTTTCAATAAGCTGCACTCAATGTTTAAGGGTTGGGTTTTGTTTTGAGTTTTTTTGGATATCTTAATAAAAGAGAACTTAAAAAAAATTTTTTTTTAGAAGATTGGCAGTAAGCTCCAAATAAACAAGAGCTAGTAAAACTACTATTCCAAATGAAAATTGTCTAAAATGCAGTCCTGCGTTCTGCATATTTTCTTCATATTAAAGTCTCTAAGCCTAGCTAATAGTCTACTTTTTTTCAGGATGAGGATGAAGAGGATGCTGATCTCTCAAAGTATAATCTTGATGCCAGTGAGGAAGAAGATGCTAATAAGAAAAAGAAACCCAACAGGCGCAGTCGCTCTAAATCTCGATCTTCCCACTCACAATCTTCATCACGCTCATCCTCCCACTCAAGCTCAAGGTCTAGGTCAAGGTAAACGGGTACAGGTCAAGGGTAACGCCAGGCAAAATGTCAGTATCTAACTTCTTTATTTACTTTTTTTTCCTTGATTGACTTATAGTTTCAGTTAATGTAACAATTTTATATATACAGTTTACATAGATTACATTTTTATGATGGCTTTTTATAGTGCCACAGTTTTGAAAGTGAAAACTTCTTTTAGTTTGTCACTTCGATTTCAGCGAGATAATGTTTCAGTGGGGCTTAGTTTTCTTTTTTATAACATACTTTCAAAACGAATTGTGCTCCTTTTAGCTTGCTAATGAGTTGTCACATTTAATGTTACATGCATGATTTTTTTGAAATAATGCAAACTGTTGGAAGAAAAGCTGACAAACTTGTTTGCAAAGGGGAGGCGGGGTGGTAAAGAAGGAAATAATGCAATAAGAGCAGATAAAATAGAAGTCTAGTATTCCAGAATTGGAAAATGCCTTGAAAGTGAAGATAAGAAACTTGTTTTATGTAGTATAAAAGGGGAAGTCAACAGAGGGATTAAGATGATTAGAGTATCAGGCAAGGAAGATTTATGGAACTGATTTTAAGAGTGTGCAGGGATTAGATGGGTCTTAGTGAGGCCAGATAAAATTTGCTCAGAAAAAGCTGACTCTGATCAGTAGTGAACCAACCAGCAGCTTACAAGACATCTCTCTCAAGCAACTTATGAAGTTCCTTATTACTAACACATAGATATATAATTAGTAATAGTATAGCTAAGATTTAGCTATTGTATGGAGAAGTTTATAATACGACCATAATACATTACCCAAGCTGAAACCTGCTGAATAACATCTTCATTTAGGAGAACTTGTACTTGCAGAAACATATGTTGGGATGATCTCAAGTTCTTGGAGATAAACATATTTTTTTACACTGAAACTGCTTCTCTTTTTAAAATATAAGCTATTGTTTTACTAGACCTTACGGTAAGTGAATCACACTTTGCTGAAGTGACCAAGATTTCAAATATGTGAAAATCGGCTTTTTCTTGTTCATTTTTGTTAAAATTTGTATATGTTTCTACTTGGCCAGCATGACACCACATTGCCCCTGCACATTTCATTTAAAATTCACATGTTAAATGCATCATCCTGGCCTGACTTCTGGGAACCCTCTACTAAATTCCTCTTTAAATTGCATACAATTTCTTCTCTACAGAATACCCTCCATGAAAGGATCCATAGATCACTGCCCTTTCCTTCAAATCCATTAGGCCATAGTGTCTACAAGAAGCTAACCAAATACTATTGGCAGAACTGATTGGCACATGCCAATTTGTTTATCAAAAACTCACTTTGATAGTGTGTTACATCTTTCTTCCCCCATCCTTCATTTTAGAGTGTGAGTTGTGTTAGACAGAAATTCTATCCTCCTGTGTGAACTGCACCTTCTGCATGGGAACTACTGGAATGAAAATAGAATTAAGATCTCTCAGACTTGGGTGTAATCTAGTCACAGGAACTTCAAAATGTATTTGCAACAATGAGCTGAGTCTTCATTTCATTAAACATAAATGTGTGTTGACAGAGTTTTGAGTTCTCCTTGAAAGTTTTTTTTTTTTTTTTTTAAACATAACTTATTTGGCTAGAAGTAAAAGTACAGACTATTCTTGTTCTGAATAATATGATGAAATAGAGAGACAATAATAATATTGATTGGGATTTACAGAATGAATTTACCAAATGGAACCTGAAAAGATTATTGAAATTTGGTTTGCCATGTCTTCTCTTCAAAATAATTGCAGTTACACAAGATTTGTAATACTGCACTCTTGTAGCTTGTATTTTAAGGAGACACCATCAGTTTGAAAATTATATTAATTTTAAAACATTATAAAGCTACAAATATTGCCGAAGAGTTCTGTAAGTTACCAAAAATAATTTTCTTGTGTGTGTGCATTTTGCCTTTTTATACAGTGGAAACTGTGACATTGCCTATAATCAATCTCATACTTGCTGAAAAGAACCTTATCAATATCAACAGATGAATAACCAATCATGATACTTTTTAAAAAAATTAAGAAATGTTCATGATGGTGTATTTGGAGTACTGTGTCACACACTAGGATTCCTAATTTTACACAGTTTAAAAATACAAGCTGATGGTGTCCCATTAAGGTTCAAATTACAAGATTTGGGTTGGATTCATGAAATAGTTAATGGGTGAGCAATCATTTTATTAACTTTACCAAATAAACGGATATCCTACTTACTTTGTCTGCTTCCACAGTTTAACTAATAGTTCTACTGCAAACGTTCAGTCTCTTAAGAGGATGACATTAATAAAAACCTTAACTTCTTTATGCCACTACTTTACTCATTGGAAACTTTGACTAGAATTATCCATCAATATTTGAAAGTAGATAAAGTTTTTTTTCCAGATTAACAGAATTATTTATGTCTTTCATGAATCTAGGCCCAAGTATGATAAATAGCTGCATCTGTATACTGTTAAAAATTGATTATGAAAGAAAATGAATATTAATTTTTGAAGAGTTACAAATATTACAAATGAGTATTTCAGATGCTCATATGTCTTATGGATTGTGCAAAATTCTAGATGTAATTTTCAATCATCATGTCTCATGAGGCTGGGCAAGTATCGGGAAAAAATCCTCCATGTTGTTTCAGGTCCCGTTCAAGAAGCTCTTCCAGTTCCAGATCAAGATCTCGTTCCACTTCCAGAGAACATTCTAGATCTCGTGGGTCGAAATCAAGGTGAATTAGGTAGCATTGCAGAGAGAAATTCTAAAAGGGTAGCAGAACTGATTGCTTGCGTGTCTTGTTTTTAAGAGAAAACAACCAATTTTGACAACTCATTTTCAGACTGTCAGTTGTTCCAAGGAGTTACCACTATTAAATGAAATAATTATTCTTGAAAATGCATGTTTGCTTTCTTCTGAGGAATTTTTTAAAAGTCTGGTCTAAAGCTAGGCAAGTGGATAATATCACATCTGCAATACTTCAGAGCAAGAGAATCCGAATGCATATTTTTGCTTTAAATGATTCTTGCAACTTTATTTACTGTTTCTTCTGGCAATTAAATATGAAATATTAAATGTGCTATACTCTTGTGTGGTTAGGGTTCTGTATTTGAAATCCTATTAGACACAACTGTTGAAACATTATTGTAAATATGGGAAATCACTGATCAGTTACTCATGTGAGTAACCCACTGCTCACATATGGTCAAGGCAAGCAAGACTTGGTCCAGATCTTCTAGATATAATTATTAGAGTCTGATTTAGCTGGTGTTATTGTATAGCAATTATTGAACTGTGCATGGGAGCCAAAGTTAGCAAGTCACCCCTGTGATAAGTTCACTGAGGCTTCCTGTTGACAGAAGTTTTTACAGTAGAATGCAAATCTGCCTCTTTTTTTTTTTTTTTTTTTTCTGTGCATGGAGTGGATTCTTATGGTGTGAAACAAGTGTGGACTGGGCATGTAAAAATAGTCTTGCATCCCTTGAGTGGTCCAAACTTCTTTAGTGTCCTCTTTTAAGGGGTGGTGTACAAAAAGGGATTCCATTATCTTCAGAAGAGAAAATTGTGGAAGTGGTCCATGCAGCCTCTACTAATTTATCTACATTGCATACTCCTTATGGCACCTCCCCACCTCTTTGATCACAGTATAAATAATGTAAATAGTGAGCGCTTGGATAAATATATATTTGACATTCGTGGTATGTACTCTACATGGCTCTCTATACACCCAAGCACCCATTGTTGTTTTTCGCAATGTAGTGTCCCACTACTAGGGCCTTTACCTGCTGCAAAGAAAAACTTCGGTAGAAGGGACAGGCTCTGCTGCTAGAGCTTTTTTCCCCTGCAGGGACACTAGTAGTTCCCTGAGGTAGGGGAAAGACTCCCAAAAACAAGGAGCTGGAAAGGCTCACAGTGCCTCCCCCATTTCATTGCCACATGTAGCTACATACTGCAGTGTGGCTGCATCCTGCTTTTCATTGTGGCATGTAGCTACATGTAACCTATATGCTGCGGCAAGTGGTGTGCAGTGTGGATGTATCTTATGAAACAGTTCTTTAGCTGCTCTGAGAGAAGGATTGCTCCCTCATTCTACCCTACATTTGCCCAGTGTGCCTATTAATTTTATGCCAGTTGCAATTCTCACTAGACTAAAAATTTAGACTAATTCCTAAGGCAAATATAACTAAGTGTTAAAATAGAAAGCAAATTATTATTTGACACCCCATTGATACTAAAACAACATGTTCAGGACAAGTTATTTTTAGTATACAGCATTGGTTTAAAACTGCATTTCAGACCTTCCTGTCGGTTAAATTGCTTAATATTTTGGAGTACAGTAAAACTCCAATAGTCCAGCATCCAATAGTCCGGCACTCCTGATAGTCCGGCATCAAAATGGCAGTAGCCTAGCGAGTGAGTTTCTGCAAAAAATGAGTCACAAGGTAACAGCGGCAACAGCTGAACTGAGCAAAAAGGGTAAAAAAGGGTTTAAAAAACTAAAACCTTACAGTACACTTTATACAGTATGTACAATAAAAAGGGTTAAAAACACTTTATATACAGTATATACTGTATACAGTATATACATAACTATCTTATAGTATCTCCTGATACTCCGACATATTTGATAATCCAGTACCACCTAGGTCCCATAGGTTCCGGATTATCAGGAGTCTACTGTACTTTATTATTTACAGTGAAGATTGTGAAACTTTTCTGTGGAAAAATATGCATGTTTGATTAAAAAAGAAAGTACTGTCACTAAATCCTCTTGTTCTGGTAAATTTAACATTGGGCTTGAAGCCAGGAGAGCCTAAATTCTTTTTCTATCACCTTGTCTGTCGGCTTCAGCAAATGATTTATTTCATGAGAAAGTAGCTGTTTCTTTGTAAAACACAGTAAAACATTTTGCGTAGCATTTTGTCTTCTAACATTTTTAGTTTATTAAAATAGTTTCAGTTCAGCAGAATCTTGCAAATTTGGGTGGGAGAATGGCCATTTTTTGAGGTTTCTTCCAATTTTAGTAAATGTTAGGTGGTTTATTTTTGAAATAACATTGGTTTTATGATACATAATGGAATATATACACTAACAGTAAAGTGAAACACAATTTGAAATAGCTTGTATTAAATCTCTCACTTTGTGGACTCTATTACTTAGCACGAATATGATCTTCTAGTAGGCCATCTCTCATCCCAGTCTCCTGCAGTACGTTTAACAAAACCATAATTCTGGATAACAATGAAAAATGGCTCCCAAACCACTGGTACACAATACCATATTTCCAAAGCATTATCTTCAAAATAAGTATTTTCATTGTTGAGGTAGAAGTTCTTACTGTCTATTAACTAAGAAGTAAGTATTAAAATGAATTTGTAAGATGTTGTGGCAAATCTTTTATTGAATGTTCTTGGATCTGAACTCTGTAGTAGACTTTTGCTATCGTCTTTATATCGTACACAAATTAAATCAGATTTATTTCTTAATCAATAAAGATCCAGCTCCAGGTCCGTCAGGGGGTCTTCATCCCCAAGAAAAAGATCTTACTCAAGCTCTCGTTCATCATCTTCCCCTGAGAGAGGCAAGAAGCGGAGTCGCTCTAGATCTTCTTCATCCGGTGATCGCAAAAAAAGACGATCGAGATCACGGTCACCAGAAAGGTTTGGGTTTATGTAGAATAAGAATGGGTGTATTTAAAATGTGTCTAATATACTTGCAAAAGAAATGAAATGAACTGGGAAAGGATTTAATTTTATTAGTTACTCATTTGGTGTTTAAAAATAGTTTTTTGAGCCTTCCTCCTCTAATTACAATGCTGCTTTTTAAAAAGTGATGTTTTAAAACCCTCAAATCTTTCTTTGCAAAATCTCCTGTTCCATAAACAAATACCCGGATTTCCATTGTTTCAGTGTTTAAAAGGGCTAATGTATTCTACTACTTGATTAACTTAAATAAATGAATACTGTGACATCAAGGAATTGTAAATTTAATATGAAATGTGGCAAATTTAATACTAAAGAGTGTAACATTAGTGAGCATAAACCGGTTTTAGATTATGCATATATACAGTTTACTTACTACCCCTGTCAGATAAATTAGTCTTCTATTGTGGATGTGAGAGACAACATTAAGTGGAACTTATTTTTTTGCATACTTTCTCTGTTTGTATCTTACAGACACCGCGGGTCATCATCTGGATCTTCCCATTCTGGTTCCCGTACAAGTTCTAAAAAGAAATAATGTATTAAAGTTCACATTAAAAAAAAAATCTAGTCCAGTGCATGAGGAATATTTTTAAGAACTTGTTGTCTTATTTGGTCAGAAGTGCTAAATCTGCTAGTAGAAGTGCATGTTTGTCCTTGCTTTCTGGGAAACTGCAGCTTTGTTAATTCATTAAACAAAAAGTACAGTAGCATTTTAAGCCATAAATTCCCTAGAGTAGGTGTGTACATTTCATTATTGTATTGTTAAACAATGTTTAATGAGGCCCACTAGTTTTAGTACTATTGTGAGGGGGATTGGGAGGTTTTTTTAGTTCGAAGGGCACCTACCAATTAAATTATTTATCCCTCACTGAGCTGTGAATGGAGACAGGCTGATGTGTGGAGTCCCATCCTCCAAAAGAGGGCTCTCTGCACATAACAGCTCCTGAGCTTCTTTGATGCACCTTTGCTAGGATCTATGGTAATGACTAAATGCAGAAAAACTGGGGGCCTGACTGTAAAGAGTTCCCTTACTCACATTTAGTGTAGACATCTGAATCTGATGCCCCTTACTCACCCATTACAGAACCTAATATTGGGTATGGGATGTGAGACTTCCCCTCTCCCATACTGAAGACTTTTTGGATCATTAATCTCTTCTCTCTGTAGCTGATGTCTGTCTCAAAGATGTCTGTGTCTATGGAGATGTAGCCTATTTGATCCTCTGTCAGCCAAGGAAAAGCCAGCTTTCTCTAGTAGGTTGCTGGGTGCAATTTAATTTTCATATATATATATATATAAGTCTGTGATCTCTCTTAGAAAGGGGATAGTTTTTTATGGACTTATAATGCTGAAATGAACATTTTGTAGCTACTTTTGAAGTGATGAAAGAGTTTATGAAATAGTTTCTTGGGAGTTAGTGTTAGTCTCCTCAAGCTGGCAATGAAAGATTAATTTGGGCTGTAGAAAGCTATTTTTTTCCCACATTAAATTTTACATTTGGTAGATAAGCTGCATAGGAAGTTCTCCTGAAATACAGATAAATCTGTGCTTCTAAATAAATGTGATCAAAGATCATAGCTGTCCCCTTCAACTTCTTTAAATTTATGGCTTAAAATGCTACATAAAATTTGATTTACTAGCAATATCACACTAAAACCTGGTTACCCTTGAGCTCCGTTTGGTTAAGAAAGATTTGTGTTAACAGTTATCTTCAGTGGCATCACAAGGTAAGTATGTTAAGGAAAAATGATATGTTTTTTAAAACAAAGAAGCAATATATCTAATTATTTGAGTAGTGAAACTTTCAACATCTTTGATAGTTGCTTTTGTAAAATGAACTTCAAGAACACAAACGGAGCAAAAATACATTCTGCTTTTTTTTAAAATGATTTTATAAGTTTCTTTTGGACTGATCTGACAGCAAAATGTTTTTGTTGTAGAAATATTTTGATAATCTTTTTGCAGAAAAAAATTGCCCTGCAACTTCTTCTTTATCACTTTCTTTTATATCTGATTTCCTTGCTAAATGTAGCTTAGATGGCACAAGAACAGTTAGTTTCTTTTAACTGTGCATCTGACTTCATGAAAGTCTACATACTAAATTGTAAAAATAAGATCTATTAGAAGCTATATGTTATCTTCATTTTTTTCTTGTGCTTTGTATTAAAATTGTTGCTGTACTTAGATAAAACTTTTAATTTAGCAAATGATAGGCTACAGACAACTCTGAGGAAAATTATGGTTTCATTTAGCTTGGATAAAATGTACTAAGTCATTTCATGAATAAATGATTCTGTAGACAAGTGTAAATAAAGGCTGTGAGTCAATTACACAATGAGTGTTTCTGTTGAGACATGTAGAATAAATCTATTTGCTGGTTCACTTTTAAACTTTCTGAAATGCAAAGCTTTTTTATTCTGTCTAAGATATCTTTGAAGGGAGAGAACTAGCAACTTAAAGGCAAAAGCAGTTGTTCTGATCACAGCATGCTTCATAAAATACAAGCAATATCCATTTTTACTGACTAACTGCATCAAAAATTAAAATTGGGCAGTAGGTCAGAATCAGACCCACTTTGTATAAAACATAGATACAAAGATCAAAATTAATCTTGGCTTGTTTTGTGGGGGGAAGAGGGAGAGATCAATCTCTTTAGCCTACTGTTGTAATTTAACTCTAATAAAATATTGTCCCGTGGCCTGCTGCTTAGTATTGTACCCTTCTTACATAAAGATTTTTATGATGGACTAGAAGATGTACCCTGCGTTGCTCTGGTCCTTAACTCAAATACATTTTCTTTGTCTTAATTTAAATCGTTGCTTTGGGGGGGGGGGCTGGGGATGAAGGATTCTACATGCAGGTTGCTGTGGGCAGAGAGATCCCAGCACACTCTCACTGCAACAGCTTGGGGCCAGGTGAGAATCATCTCTCCATGACTGCTGCAGCTCCAGTGGACACAGCCGGGAGTGGGGTGCATGTCCCCTAATTGGGGGACAGACACACGGATAAACTCTCTCAGGTAGATAGTGGTCTCTTTCTCCAACTCTACGGCCCCAGTGGAGTTATGTCTGTCCTGGTCCTATCCATGGTCCCTTCTTTCCCCACTGTGGTTATTATACAGTGTAAATTTTTCCTGCTTTCCATCCCATATCCCTCGCTGCCCTTCTGTGGTCATTATATAGCAGAGCCCTCCCTTTCCATTGTATGAGAAACAATCCCATTCTAGGCACATTTCACATTCCTGGCATAACCCAAACCCTTACCAAATTCTTACCTTGTTTTAAGCTATAAGAGGAAACTGCATACAAATTTGGTGATCCTAGTTCTTACTGTTTAGGACGAGTTCTTGAACACACAGTCACATTCTCTCAAATATGTAGTAGATTACTGATACCAGCTAGAGCTGTGAGAGGCTATCTAAGCTAGTGAGTGGGCTGCATGAGTGGCCCTCCTTCATCTAAGTGGGCCACAAGATTATTGTATCCAATATAGTCTCCTAAAGATAAGGTAATTTTGCTAACTCATCTTACGTACCTAGAATTTTCAGTCCTGATTAAACTGTAGTAGAACTTCAGGTGCAGAGGAAATGCAAGGGAACACGCAGCTCTCAATCGTGTGCGATTGGCACATACTTCACGTCACATGCCCTTGCTTTAAGTACATCTCACTTTTGTAATACCAGTAAGAAAAAAAACTCTGCAGATGAAAAGCTGCAGAATTTGGCAGCCCGCTGCAGGGGCAACGGTAAACGAAGTGTCTTGTGGCCACATACAGAACCCCAATGGGCCACGTGGCTTTCGGGCCACGTGTAGCCCATCACTGAGCTAGAGAGTAAATGGAGTTTCTACAGAGCTTGTTTAAACTCGGTAAACTTATGAGCCCAGTTAAAGAGAAACTGGTTTGCTTAGGAATAAGTTACAAAGCCTATTGAAATGTTTTTCAGCTTTATTATGTGTTTCCATGTCCTTCAACACTATAAAATAAAAATGAATTAAAAACACCACTCTAGCGGTATGTCTACACTAGCTCATTAATTCGAGCTAGGTAGGCAAATCAGGCAACTGGAGTTGCAAATGAAGCCCGGGATTTAAATATCCCAGGCTTTATTTGCATGTTCCCATCTGGTCGCCATTTTGAAATTTCACTAGCCTGAAGTTTAGTGGCTCGAAGTGTAGCCATGAGGTGCAACAGTTAATTCGAACTAAGCCCTTCGTTTGAATTACCATTTCACTGCCGCATGTAGCCGTGTGGCAGTTACTTCAGGCTAGTGAAATTTCAAAATGGCGACCAGACAGGAACATGCAAATAAAGCCCGGGATATTTAAATCCCGGGCTTCGTTTGCAACTCCGGTTGCCTGATTTGCCTACCTAACTTGAATTAACGAGCTAGTGTAGACATACCCTAGTTTCATTATCCAAATTGAGTGGAAATGGAAAATGCAGACCATGAATGTAACAGATTAAAAGTAACTTTTTTTTAAAGATCAGCTGAATTGCCTAGCAGTCCTAAGCAAACTTGCAATCATTTTCTCATTTTGGGTCTTCAGAATTGGTGCAAGACCTTATTCTTGAGAACAAGAGAGTGACTCGTTCTATTGCTTTTCTAGTAGAGTGCTAATGCTTGAGAGAGAGGGGAGAATGTGTTCTCTCAGGTATATTTTTAACATGTTAACAATAGGTGATTCACAACAAAATTAAATGTGAGGTCTGACTCAGGCATCCCTATTGCATTGTTGCTCAGCTGAAGAGGATGGGCTGGGATGTATCATCTTGCAACTTGGATGTATTCACACATCCAGTATTTTCTATTTCTTTGTAATGTTCCCTTTTTTTTTTAATCGGACATCACAAGAGTAACTGAGAACAGCAAAATAGCTGGTGTGGCGTGAGGAAAATTGTTGGAAGTCTGGGAGAAAAGAGCCCTTGCAAGAGAGGGTGAAAGCAAAGTATCTCAGGGACTGGCACTAGGGCACAGGTTTTTGTGCCTTTCAATAACCATATGAATCTAGCCCAAGTCAGGGAAAGTGGAAGTAACTGACATTTCTGGTTGATTTGTTGTCTTATAAGAGGGTGCATCTAGACTGCAGGGGGGGGGGGATTGGTGGGGTTTTTTTTTTAAATGGCTGTTTTTCTGAAAAAACTTCACTTACATCCACACTGCTATTGCGTTCTTTTGAGGAAAAAAATCAAAACAGGTTTTCCTGACATTAGTAAACCTCATTCTACAAGGAAGAATGTCTTTTCTGAAAGAGCTCTTGGAAAAAGGCAGTCCAGTTGCTAAGGAGCAAGCATCCTCATTTGAAAACTGCCATGTTGATAACCAAGCTTACTGACAGTCTCAGTACAATGGCAAAGAACTAAATAGGTAAGGAGGCAAAATACAGGTGATCCATCCAAAGGAAGGTTGAGGCAAAAGTAATATAGCTGAGGACATTTACACAGAGCACTGCAATCTCTTTGGTTCCAGTCTCCAGTGCTTTTTTTTTGTGAACGTTAAGGTCACCTAAGAAAAGCTCAGGACATTTACTACCTAGTATTTTATAATGAACCACATGTACCAGAGTTTAATAAATATGGAAATCTGGCTCACATTTTGATTTAGAACCGTTGAGTCAAATCCCCACCACTATTAAAATTTGTGATATTTCAGTATAAGCTCCCAGATGGACATCCTTATTTCAGTAAATTTCCAAGTGTAAATAAGCCCTTGTACTCAAACTGCACAGAGTGATTGGTTTAGCAAAATAATCCCTATTGTATTACCAATTCAAACAGCAGCCCTTTTTCTTCCATCCAGGCCAATGCCAGGACAGCTAAAGTTGAAAACACCTCTATTTCAGATACAGTAGACATTTGTGTGTAAAGATAAAACCCCCAGGAAACTTGATATTCTAACTATACTTGTTAGATTGGTTAATGTGCATAAAATAGCCATTCCATTAAAAATTGTGGTAGAGCTCAATATCCATATGCATATAAATCTATTAAGCACAAATAACATGTATGAAAAATTAACATTTAGTATATTTCTTATGGAAATAATTTTGCTTCCAGCTGAATATCAGCTGGTACCTGAAGATATGAAATACTGTATGAGTGAGTAAGACTGAGTAATTAACACAATATGTCACTGGATGGTGCTATTGTTTCAGATAAATGCATTTCCCTGTATTTATTTGGCAACAAGGTAAAATAAAAAAGCAATCAACATTTGAACCCAGTAGAAACAAAGCTGGCAGGGAGTGAGAACTTCGGAAAGGAAAAGGGGGGTCATTATGGCCTAGGTCATGAAGCAGGTCAGACTTGGCAGTAGGCGGATCAGAACAGTCACTCCTATCTTAGAATCTGAATTATGGTACAGTCATGTGCATTTTCCCACCTTAGGCTTCTATTAGCTCATGCACAATTGCTGCTGTATTTTCAGAGGGCAGTAGGATTTGCAGTATCACTGTGCAAACAAACATTCAACAGAATGGTATCATGGAATACTCTATACCTAAAAGTTTGGCCAAGTAGCAGAACTAAGTGTTGATGACCAAACCCCTACCACTTTCATTCTGAGGATGATTCTAAGAACCCTGGGGATTGACTGGTAGGTGGTTGAGCTAATTTAATGCTCTCCATTTAGGCTGTTTTCTATCTTTTGTACATACCTCAGTGACAACAATGAAAAAAATCAAGTGAATTTCAATTCTGTCAGTAATCTTATTGCTGTAGCAGACATGTTTGCACTCTTAGGCCAGTTCCCAAACTTCTCTGAACTGTTTTCTCACTTGTAAAATGACATTAATACAACAGGACAGGTAGTTCAGTAATTAGAACGCAAGCTATCCTGTGGGGAACCTAGGTTCAAGACCCTGCTATACCACAAACTTCCTGGCTGTGTCTAGACTGGCCAGTTTTTCTGGGAAAATCAGCCGCTTTTCCGGAAAAACTTGCCAGCTGTCTACACTGGCTGCTTGAATTTCCGCAAAAGCACTGACTTCCTACTGTAAGAAATCAGTGCTTTTTGCGGAAATACTATGCTGCTCCCGTTCGGGCAAAAGTCCCTTTTGTGCAATACTTTTGCACAAAAGGGCCAGTGTAGACAGCTGAGATTTGTTTTCTGCAAAAAAAGCCCTGATCGCGAAAATGGCGATCGTGGCTTTTTTGCGGAAAAGCGCGTCTAGATTGGCCATGGACGCTTTTCCGCAAAAAGTGCTTTTGCAGAAAAGGGTCCGTGCCAATCTAGACGCTCTGTTCCGAAAATGCTTTTAACGGAAAACTTTTCCGTTAAAAGCATTTCCGGAAAATCATGCCAGTCTAGACGTAGCCCCTGTGTCTTTGAGCTAGTCATTTAGTTTCTCTCATCCACAATATCCTATCTGTACAAGAGAAGATTGCCTGAGGACAAGACCCAAATCACATACATTGAGGCTCCTAATTCCTATGGGTGTCAATAGAAATTATGCCCAGTTCTTCAAAGGTAGTTAGGCTCTTATCTCACAC